TCTCTCTCTGCCTCAGCTTCTCTGTATTCCTGTTCTCTAATTTCTATTCCATTAACAGTCTCTTGTACCTCATCCAGTCTTCTCTTAAATCCTTCCATTGTTTGTTTCATTTCTGTTATCTCCCTCTGCAATTCATCCCTTCACTCTTCCATATTTTTCTGTAGTTCCATCAACATGCTTATAACTTCCATTTTGAATTCTTTTTCAGGAAAATAGGTGATTCCAGTCTCACTAGGCCTTCTGTCTGGTGTTTGAGGAATTTTGGACTGAACAAGATTCTTCTGCCTTTTTATGGTGATGGAAGTGATTGCCAGTGAGTGGTGCATGTGTCAGCTGGGAGAACAAAGTCCCTTCTTGCTTACTGATCACCTTGCCCAGCTCCACTGCCTGTGCCCGTCAACTGCACACAGGGAGCAGCTTCTGCATTAATCCCAAGCTGCCATGTGCAGGGCAGCCCTTGGGATCATCTAGGGCACTGGTGGGGGTTGCATGTGTGTGGCATGTGTTCTTCCGCCAGAACTGCACTCTTTCCTGCTTTTGGGACTCCGCACCTGTGCCAGGAAACTGCACACAGGGATCAGCCTCTGAGTCGTTCCCATGAGCTGCCATGGGTGGGGCAGCCCTCGGGATGACTGTAGGCAATCAGCACGTGTTCACTGTGAGAACAGAACACCTACTTGTTTCCTGAACTCCACTCTAGTTTCCTCTACTTGGGCTGGTCAGCTGCATGCAGGGGGCAGCCTCTGCATTAATTCCCTGAGCTGACATGGGTGGGGCAGCCCTTGGGATGGCCTTGGGCACTGGCAGGGTTTGCAGGTGAGTAGAGCATGTTCTCTGAGAGAATAAAGTCTCTTTGTGTCTTCCAGACTCTGTGCTGGTTTCCGCTGTCTATGTCAGTTGACTGAAGGCAGGGGGCAGCCTCTGGGTCTGACCTGGTTAGCCATGCACTGGGAGAAGCCTCTGTGTGGTTGCTGTGGGTGGGGCTGCTCCCTGGTTGCACCACAGCAATGGCAGATCAGCCAGTTTGCTTGCAGTGCCGGGTGGGGGGATAATTGGCTGCTTATTGCCATGAGGTGCTTTGGTGCTGTGTTGCCACCCATGGGGGTAGGGCACCTGAAGTTCTGGTTATTTAGCAGTCCTGTGCTTCCACTCCCTCCCCACTCTGATTCTTTTCCTCTTGCCAGTGAGCTGGGGTGGAGGGAGTGCTCTGGTCCCTCCGGGTCCCGGCTTTGTGTCTTACCCTTTTCATTGATGTTGAATTCTCACAGATGTAGATGTAGCCTGGCTGGGGTACTCTATTTTCTGATCACTCTTTTAGGAATAGTTGTATTTGCTATATTTTCAAAATATGTATGGTTTTGGAAGGAGATTTCCACCACCTTACTCATGCTGTCATCTTGAGAATCTCCCTAGATGCTTTTACAATAAAAAATGGAAACCCCTTACTCCAAAATCATTTAATTTATGCCCAATTGAGTGTAATCATTTAATTTACACCCATTTGAATTTAACAGCCTCAAAAACTAACAGAAAAGTGATAATTACAATGGTCATTATCTTAGCTATTTGTGTTACGTGATGGAAAGCTTGTAGCTTTGGCTTTAAGGAACTCAGACCTTAATTTCCTATGTTGAGTAGCATTTTTTTTCCTTCTGGAATTGAACTCTATGAACTCTATGAAATTGTAGTAAAACTCACAACTCTTATGACACATTATTTCTTTTATTGTTTTATTGGCACAACAGTGCTAGGATTTCTGTTTTGTGTGATCACACTCAAGAATCTGGAAGCTCTCTTACAGTTTTGCTCTCATGTCAAACTGTTTTCATATCAACAGAGAGATGAGTCAGTGAAATCACAAACAGAATATTCATTTCTTAACACTTTCATGTAAATCAGAATATGTTATACCCTTAACAATTTAATGAGATATTATCATCATACTGTATGTCAACACAATTAGGCTAAGCAGAAAACTGGGATTAATATCTTTATTTTTGCTGCTACTAACATGTTGTAGAAAGACTGTGGAAATTCTTTCTCAGCAAGGTAGGGAAATTAATTCTGATGGCACGAAGAGGTTATTAAATTTTTATGAATAAAAGAATGATAATATTTGAACTTGAGAAAGATTGATCCATGATGATGCATTCTGTGTATTAGAAGGGGAATCCAGGGGCTGGGCAAGTTTGGAATCTTTCAATCACAGCGGTGTTTAGTCCTGAAGACCTAAATTTTGGTCATGATAGTAATGGTAATAAAGAGGAAAGAGCTGTTACTAAGACTTGGCTCCTCACTGAAAAATGGTGAAAACACTAGAATGTAAACTGTTTGAGTGGAGAAAACTTGTCCTTCATAATTTTTATATTCTCCATGCATGTAGTTGTGCTTGGAGCATAGTAGGCACTTCATAAATGGTAATTTAATAAATTAAAATAAAAACAAGCAAATGCAATAATGTAACAGGTGCTCTATCAGAGGCAGAAAGGAAGGCTTGGTAGAAAAGGAGATGCATACATTGTGTCTGGTGTATGAGCTAGAATGTTCAAGGAAGGCAGTGGGTGGAGAGGACATCAAAGTAGAAAGAAGAGGCCCTGAGGCATGAAAGAGCATGGTGTGGATATAGACAATCACCAGCAGTCGCTCGTTTCTCAAGGGTAATGTACCAGGCAGGAAGGGGTAGACATTGGTGCTGGACTTGAACAGTCTGAGCATCAGGATAAGGAGTTTTGACTTACTGCATGTTTTAAAACACCTAAGTAACATAAAGAGGTGTTTAGTATAGAAATATATCAAGTAGAAATGAGTGAAAAGTTAGGTGAGATCTTTATGTTTAGAATAGAATGTTGAGAGATCAGTGTCAAATTAGAAATCTATTACAACAGTCCACGAGAAAAGTGGTGAAAGCCTAGAATAAGGATGTAATGACAAGGATAGAGGTCATGGCAAGGTCTTGAAAAAATCCAGAAGTTATAAAATAAAAGATAGATGATGAATTAAATGTGTAGAAGAGTGAAGCAGATGGTGGAATCAAGGTTGAACATGATGAATGCCAGGGCTCTGGCAACATCCTGGCAAATGGAAAACAGGAAGGGGGGATAAAAGGAAATAATGAATTGAATTTTAGGCATATTGACTTTGAAGTGTTAGAGGGACAAGCAGGAGCATTGATCACAGAGTGATTTGTACTAGAGATGTGGTTTTGGGAGTTGTCTGGGTCAAAGGTAAGACATGAATATGGGTGATATTGTAGTACAACAGTGTTTTGTGAGAAGAGATTTAGACTGAGGGTGATACTCGGGGGAACACCCAAATTAAGACTCAAGTGGAGGAAGACACCAGCAGCAGAGACCAAATCAGAATGGACAGGGATGTCAAAGTAGAACCAAAAGAATCTTTGAAACAGATTAAAATTTTTTGAATACTTGAAAGCTTTAGAAAATAATTGATGGAATGAAGAAGGAGAATTTCAAGGAGGAATTATACTACAAATGCCATTAAGATTCATGGGAGATGAAGGCTTAAAAATGACCATTGAAGTTGACAGATGTAAAGTTATAGGTAGCTTTTCTCTGAACTCTAACAGAATGGTGCAACTAGAAGCTAGATTTCAGTGGTCTCAGAACTAAGAAGTCACAAGTCAATATTGAACCATTCCTTCAAACATTCAGTTGTGAAGAGGAGGAAGAAAAAGAGTGGTAACTAAAGAGAATGTCAAGATTGTAGACAATATTATTTTGTATTTTTATCTGTTTTATAAAGACGAGAATGATTTGAATTTGGCATCCAAGTCCTTATCACTAGACTTGACCTATCCCCAGAGCTCATAGTCTTATATCCATAGGAATGTTTTATATATCTTGAAATTATGTCAGGCATCAAGTTCAATATTCCATCTTCTATTCTGAGCAATCTCCCATATTATGCACCACTCTCCATTAAACCAAATTAGAAACCTGTACCTCATCCTTCAGCAACTATTTCAAACAATTACCACCTCCTCTATAGCTTGAATATATATATCCTCCTTTCTATTACCTGGTTTAGATCCTAATCCTCTCTCAACTAGACTCCTTCCTCCTATCTGTATCAGGTGATTTTCCTAACCTGACTTTGAGCTTGTGGTATTTCTGCAGGATACTTTGATGTCCACTTTCTACCCACAAGATAGAGACCTAAGCTTCTTATAAAAGAACTCTAGTCTGTGGCATTCATTTCTGACATAACCTCTACATACAAAAGAGGACTCCACTCCTCTCTAGTAATACCAAAATGAATGGACTTCCCTGCACACACCTTCTCGACACACTTTCTGCTGCAGCTCCTGCTTTCTGTCTTTATTTGGAATAGGCTTTTGTCCTTTTTTTTTAAATTAGTCAACTCTTACTCATTGTATCCTTTATTCATTCTCCCTTAACCCCTCCTATTTTCCTCCAGGGTGGCTAAGTGCCACTTCACCTTAGTATTACCGTGCCCTAAGCACATTATGATCATAGAATTCCCCACACTGAATTGAAGAGGTCTATATGTGACTGTCTTCTCCTGGATTTTGAGCTTCTTAGGATCAGAAAAGATACCTTAATCCTTGTACGTGCATTTAGCATATCACCAGGTAAAAGGTAACTATTGAAATGCTTATTCAACTGAACTGAGCAGTGGAAGTGGGAATGTAAGAATGCTCAAGAGAGAAGGAGAACCCAGACAAAGAGGTTTGAGAAGAGACATTAGAGGATGGACGAAGGATGATATATTATGGGCTAGTTTTAAATAGAAAAGAGACCTTTAACTATGTGACTAAGAGCAGGAGGTAAATATGGAGAAGATGGAGGCTAGAAAGAATGAAAGGAGTTTCCAATTAAGGGTTCTGTTTTCCTTGTTAAACAGGTAATTGGACAGAGGGGGTATTCAACCAAAATTTGGTGAAGATAGTGGCAGTGAAGAAACACAGGATATGTTTGCTCAGAAAGTAAATGCACATCTGAAATGCAAAGATCCTAAAAATATTTTATTCTGGAATGTGCCATCTCTTGGAACTCATTCATATACTTGAAATTCTTTTTCGATGCAAAGTTTTAGATACACCTGTAGTATTTTCATTGCATATGTATGCAAATGATTGTGCCTGAAGTTCCATACTATTCTGCCAAGCTGCAGGCTTGCCAGCAGAGCAGGGATTGGTCCTGGTGATACCGCTGCTAGTGGAGGCCAGGGAAACATGACTCATGGTGAGGCTGTCTGCACTGTGGGTAGAGTAGCTGTAAATCATCTTGAGAAAGGCAGATTTTGTGTTAGTTTCTTGCTTACAAAGAATAACATAGCATTTGGGGAAGAATGTGCAACACAGGATGCCATAGTTAGATATTAAAATAACAATAATCTCCACAGCTGGCAAATATTTTCCAAATGTGGTAGCATAGATGGGGATGAATGTGATCCAAGCTATGAAGTAAATGAGCATGCCAAATGTTATGAATTTGGCTTCGTTGTAATTCTCAGGTAACTTCCTGCCTTTGAAGGCAAATATGAAGCAAATAAAGGCCAGGATGGCAATATAGCCCAGCATGGTGCCAAATGCCAGAATGGATCCTTCCTCACATTCCAGGATAATGACTCTGGGCAAGGAGACGTTCTCTTCCACAGCAGGTGCTGCAAAAATCAGCCAAAGTGTGCAAATGACAACTTGGATTCCCGTGCAAGTGAAGATGATGGGGATTGGTTTATAAAGGCACTTCAGGAAGTTCTGCAACTTGGGGTCAAAGCTGAAGGCTAGCAAAATTTTCAGGGACTTCATTAAAATGCAGGAGATGCACAGAGTAAAGCTCACGCCAAATAGCGTCTGCCTGGTCTTACACGTAAAGTCCTGCGGTTCTCCGACGAAAAAGGCTGTACTGGCAAAGTTGAGGAAATGGCAGAGGAGGATCACATAGCAGACCGTCAGTCCTCCAGATGATTTCACAACGGGAGTGCTCAGGTTTCGTGTAAATATTATGCCAATGGCCAGAACAAACACTATTCCCAGGAGGGAAAGGGCCAGGAGCAGGATAGCCAAGGAGTCATCCCAGTTGAGATACTCCACTTCCTTTTCAAAGCACATCGTGCTCCTTACGGGGGCCCAGTGAGTTTCGTTGTGGCATAGAAGGCAGTAATCCATATCTAAAAGGCAGAGGAGATTCAGTTACATTGCAGACATTTAATCCAGGTGACGGTCCACAACGCTACAAATGAGACTCCTTCTCCCTAACAGTCCTGACTAGAAAAGGGAGATAGAAACTGTCACACTGGTCACTTACTAACATAAAGCATGCACAGAACCTGAAGAAGGTGAGAGAGGAAGGTGAGGGCAGAGGAAGAGGGGAAGAAAAAAAAAAAAGAAAAACAAAGTCAACTGGGTTGTGAGTCTTAGGAAATTAATATACTCAAGATAGATACTAGCCTTTAATGAACTTGCTATTATAGGTGGCAGTTCAGGGACACTGTTATGAATAACAGCTTTGGAATCAGATCTCAAGTCCTTTCTCTATTACTTATGATTCCTGTAATCTTGAACAAGCTAATTGAAATTTCTGAGCCTATTTTCTGATCTCTTAAAAAATAAAAAAAGATGCTGCCTCACTGAGATTCTGCGTTCAGTGAGATAATAAATATAAAATGCTTGTATGGTGCATTACACACAGTAGACACTCATTATGGTGAGAGCTGCTATTATTAATAAGGTTGTAGTTCTTTTAAAAGCAGATAATATGGTTCGGTTACTCTAAAAGCTCTCTAAAAGTGAGATAACACAAGACTATAAGCAATGGACAATTGATAAAGAATTAAAGTTTATTTTTTCCCCCAGCAGGTGAGTAAAATTGAGCCTCTCACAGAGGCAGTGATAAATTTGAAAATAATCTGTGCTGATTCTGACTGTAGGGTGTTGTGAATAGTTGATATCAGAGGGGAGCTTCTGGGAGTGTGATTTGCTACCCAGCCCCAGCTCCTAAATATGGGGTCTCAACTACTTCCAAAAATGTGCTCTCTGAGCGTTCATGTGATCATACTCCACAGTGCCCATTTGGCTTTATGCAGTGTCTGTGTTCACTTCACTAGGTTGTGTCAGGTTGTGTTTCTGTTTATAAACTTCATTACCTTTTCAGCCTCCTCCTCTTTCCACACCCTGTTTGTCTACAAAGATCTATGCTTCTCTGTCCTGCCCTTAACCATAGTTGCCAGTGTCTGCCATTTCATCCACTCAGTGAACATTTATTGGCCTTGTCTGCATTACAAGAGCTGTGCTCTGGAGTCATAGAGAAGAATAGGAGATGATGTCCTTTTCAGATTACCCTAAATCCTTTAGGTAAGTTGTCCTTAGTCTTCTACACTTGTTCTTGGAAGCAACTTGCCCTGGTAATCAAAAAACAACCCAGACTGTATTTTGAAAGATTCTTGTACATCTTTATGGGAAAATAAATGCTACAGACTCTCTTGGTGTTTTTATTTAACCTACATGGCAGACAGGTGCTAAATGCCAATTGTCTGGAAAACTTGCTCCCGGTTACATAATTATTAAAGGAGCACAGCCCATTTCAGGTTGGGATAAATGGCATTTTTGTGACATAGTGACAGAACATGAATATTGGAATGTTTACATTGGGATGCCCTTGGAGCCAATAAGAAAAAAGAATAAGCATTTGGGAACTATTCTGGCTCTGTAGCTCTCAGCTTTTATAGATGGATTAGAATGCTATAATCAACAAGGGAATATGAGGCTTTTAAAACACACACACAGGCTTAATTCCAAAGGAAGGGCTGATTGCTCCTCTAAGGGCTCAAAGGCTGCTGACCTTACTATTGTTCTTTAATTTGTGTATTTTGCTCTGATTTTGTCAAATTCTTAAAGACAGGTTTGGAAAACATCAGTAGCATCTCATTTCTGTCAATTGTTTATCCTCTCATCTCACTGGAGGTTCTATTTTTTAGGCTTCCTTGTTGCCTCTTGGTAGGAATACTGAGAACTCTAGGGTGCACACACACCTCTGGGTACCCCTGGGTTTCTATCATATTCAGTTTAGTTAATTTTGCATTTATTTATGTATAGTTATTGTGCCCCGTTACAAGTCAGGCATGTGTCTGTGGAGGATACAAGGACAAACAGAGAACTTTCATTATTTTAAGAGGTGCTGGAAAGGAAGTCCAGGTGAGGGCGTGACATCTCCCTTGGAAGCAAAGTTACTTTTACATCTGTATTTTGTATTGATTGTGTGCCTGGTGATATAAAAGTACAAATTGCAAGTTAAAAATGAAATTCACTGAAATTTAATCTAGCAGAAGCATGACTTTCTTAAAAAAAAAAAAAGAAGAAGGAAAAGTAAACTAAAATAGGATTCATGTCCAAAAAAATCAACCAAAGAAAAATGGTTCAGGTGTGGTACATTTTTACTGTACATGTTTTGACCATAATTACCTGTCTGATTACTGTAGTGATTTTCAGGACAGTTCACACATTCATAGCAGCAGATATGTTGACTTCTTGTAGTTTTCTTCATTTGCCCAGGGCTACATTCTTTGGAGCACTTAGACTGAATTTGCTGCAAAGTGAAAAGAAATTCTAAATAGAAATTATTTCAAAAGATTTATCCTTAAGTAACTTTTGACTTAATTAAAAAATATATTTATTAAATAGTGCTTTGGTCTTTTTTTTTCATAGCACAATAGAATTGTTTCATTATCTGAAGGAATGTGAACAAGTTTAAAAAACAGAAAATATTTTAGTGAAACTGCTTTAGGAAGAACACAGTTTTTGTCACACGAATAGTGTGCTAGCAAAAATAGAACTTGGCTCTTTCAAAAACATCCCTATGAGAAGGAAAAATGTGTAGTAGTAGAATTAAGGAACGAAATGATGGTTTGGAAATTACTAATCCTGTGTTATATTGAGTTCAATGATATAAGAAAATAGTAAAGTATTGGGTATTTATATTCTTTAGAAGGTTATTAATCATGCTGTCCAAGGGCCATATCTGTTCCAATCTTAAAAAACAGAATAATGGAAACATTTGAATTTAATGTCATTAAAGTATTTGTTAAAAAGACAACCCCAGATATGAAAATAATATTTAAAGCATCCTGAGAATTTAGGTTAGAATTCTGCATGTCACAGTGCACCGCACCCGCAGCATCCTGCTTTTATGGAACTCCCTGCTTACAATCGCTTGCTATTTATTCTTTTAGCTTCAGCTGTGTTATTTTTCTCATTCCTAGTCCCTTTCACATGACACATCTTGCAAAATAAATGTTTATGGTCTCACTCTTACTCTTGGGAAGCCAAAGCAGAGTGGGTAAATGAGGCTTTCTCTAGAATCTAATGGCCATTCCTGAGCCTGGAACCCAGCCAGACTGCTGAGCTAAGTAGTCTTCTCTCTGGGAGATGAAAATGACCTGGCTGAGAGAAAAACAGCCAAGATGCAGCAGCCATTTGTCTGCAAGCTCTGGCTTCCTTCTCAACACAGCTATTGCTGACCAGGGTTTTCATCAGGCAGGATATCTGCACTGTGGATTCCCCAGGGAAAATTTTTAATCTGAAGTGCCCACACTTCTAGGGAGTGCTCAGAGGACACAAAAGGATTTAACTATGAGATAAAGCTGGACATTATGAGGGGAATAGAAGTGAAACCTTTCTTCCCAGCAACATGTTCCCTTCTCTCCCCTCCACACAAGAGGCATTCTGAAGTCTAGTACTGATAATTTTTGGGCATCAGTACATTTAGGATTATCTGAGGTTTTGGACCATATATGGGTTTTGATGGCTTACCAGAAATGCTGATATCACAAGTGCACAAGTGCATATTGATTAGATCTTTAAATCTGACCTAACTGATGTCAGTGGGTCTCTACTACCTCCTTGAGATATTTATGGGCGTTTCCATCAGAAAGGAAGACATGTCAGCCCCTTCCATTCAGCCTCTACAAGCTCCACTTGGTTGCTTGTTGTCCTGTCACCTCCCTCTCATGGAGTGTCTCCCCTACATTGTCTGGAGGTAATACTGGGTAACAAAAACATTGCTTCTTGCAGAAATTATAATAGAGAATCTTCTCTACATTCAATAAGAAAATGAGCCACTACATGGTCTAAAAGCTCCAGTGTGTTACAGTGTTTGGCAGAGTGCTGGGTTCACAATACAGTTGTGAGGGGTGGTGTTGATAATGAAGATGGTGATCAAAGTCTGAGAACTCAGGATAGCCACATTTCTATTTTTCAAGGATAACATACCTTGCTTTACTGAAGCTTATGACAGGGAAAATTAGAACCAAGACAGTGGCTTAAAGCATTACTATATTCACTCTTTCATTCAACACATATTATTTGAGTGCCTACCAGGTGCCAGCTGTTGGGATTGTTGGAGCCACAGCAGGGAATGAAACAGAAAAATCCATAGCCAGAGACATTCAGTTCTCGTTAACAAGTGAACAATGATCAAGATAAGCAAAATGAACAGAGAGGAATACTAAGGAGGAAAATAAAGACAGGAGGTGTATGCATAGTATTAGGTTAACACTGCAATTTTAAATAAGGTGACTGGGGAAGGCCTTACTGAGATGGCGATGTTTTAGAAGAGACAGAAGGGAAGTAAGAAAAGTGAACCACATGGACAGCAGAGAAGATTATTCCAGGCGAAGGAAACAGCAGGTGGAAAGGCCCTGAGCTAAGAGAAGGGGCGGTGCATATGGAAGAGGGAGAAGTCCTGCAGGGTTGTTGGAAGTGGGGAGCATAAAGGGAGGATAGTAGGAGGTGAGGATGGGGAGGCGCTAGTGGTAGGTCATGTAAGGCTTTTATCGACATTGGCTTTTGCCCTGAAAGAAACAGGAAGTATAAGGAGGGTTAAAAGCAGAGGATTGCTCTGGCTGCTATTTTAAGAGCAGACTGAAGTGGGCAAGAGTGCAAAGAGAAAGCAGTTAGAGACCTACTGTCTTAAGCTGGGTGACAGGTGCCTGGCCATAGCTTGGAGTGGGGTGGCAACAACGCAGTGAAGAGCAAAAAGTGATCAGATTCTGCACCCATTTTGAAAGTAAAACCTAGATTGTATATGAAACATGATAGAAAAAGAAGTGACAAGGACACTACCAGGTTGTTCCATGAGCAACTAGGTAAAAGGAGTTGCTATTTATTGAGATGGTGGTAGATTTGGGAGCTCAGTTTTGGAGATAACTGGTTAAAATGACTATTAGACACACAGGTAGAGATGTCACTTAAGCACTTGTATATTTATCGGGGTTGAAATTCAGAAGATACAAATCTGGGAGTCATCTGCCTTCTGTATAATGACATTATTTAAATGCACAACCCTGGATAAGATTGCTAAAGAAAAATGCAAACAAAAAAGAGGAGTTCTGAGCTCTGGTGATGTACTTATAGGTAGTAGAAATGGCAAGGAACCAAGAGAGGAGACTGAGAAGCAGTGGCCAGAGACAGGGAGAAAATCAAGGGAGTGTGGTCATGGAAGCAAATAAAGAAAGCACTTCGTGGAGGAGAGAGTAATTGGCTGGTAAGTGAAGTAAGACTATGTTTGGATTTACTAACACTGGTGAACTAGACAGGAAGAATTTTAATAGATTGGAAAGAATTCAAAAGAATTATGGGAGGAAAGAAACTGAGTCCCCTGAATATATTTAACTTTTTCAAATAATTTTGCTGTAAAGAGAAATAGAGGAATGATCAGTATATAAAGGGGGAAGTGGGTAACAAGTAAAATTTTTTCTTTCTCTCTCTCTCTTTCTTTTTTTTCCTTCCTTCTGTCCCTTTTTCCCCTCTCTCTTTCCCTCCCTTCCTCTTTCTCTTCCTTCCAGACAAAAGGAAGAGCAGCATACCTGTATCATCATTTAGATAATGCAGAAAATAAAAATACTTGAGGAGGCAGGAGAGAGTGGAGAGTTGCCAGAGCAATATCCTTGAGTCAGTGAAAGGGGTTGGGATCAGGGGTCAAGTGGAAGAGCCGACCTTGGCTAGGAGCCCAGAGAGTCCATCCACAGGACCAGATGGAAGGCAGGGATATGGGCATAGATGCGGCAGCACAGGAGCACTGGAGTTCTCTTCTGTTTGTTTCAGTTTTGCTAGTGAAATAGGAGCAGTGTTGACTAAAAGTGAAGATGGTGAAGATGTGCTGGAGTCAGAAGAGAGAAAGGAAAGCATAGCCATCTAGGAAATGGGTGAGTGAATGGACTAGAGTAGTAAGTCTAATTGCCCAGCAGCATTAAAGGTCCACTGGAGGTCAGAGATGATGAATTTTAAGTGAGAACAGTCAGCAAGGTGTTTTTTGTTTCTGTTTTGGGCCATAATCAGCTACATGGGAGCTACTTTGATTAGATAAAGAGATGAAATTTAACCAGGATTAGGCTGTGGTTGAATGAGCATGATGAAGGGAGCAGGGGGCAGGGGCAAGAGGATTGAGGGTGTATACAGGGAGTGATATACAAGTTGTCCATGAAATTTAAGGAGGGGACTTGTGACAGTGAACTGGCAGTAGGATTACTGGAGGTCCTGGCGGCATCAAAGGCTCTTACAATTGAGGTGCTGATTGATTTGAATGCTATGAAGTCTACAACAAAATTACCTTAAGATTCCAGAACTCATTTTTTGTTTCTTGGTCTGGGATAATGAAGACATCATTCTTCAGGTCATACTGTGCCATCTTAGTGACAGTCATGTGGCCATTGATCTCCTTCCAGAGCACAACATCATAGCCAGTATTCATATCCCCATGGGCATCAAAATGAAATGAATTCCCTCCATCAGTGAATGTCACATTTTTTAGTACATCAAGTAACTAGAAAAAAACAAGAAAAGAAACAAACACTAACAGAAATATTTTAAGTGTATCCATTCCAGTTATAACACTCCCTTTCATGGAGTGTCAGTTAACAATTAGAAAAAAGACTGGGTCAGTGGATGTGGTAACTAGTTGAGAAGGTTCTTAACTATCTGGAAAATATTTGAGAATTCTTGCCTCATTTCTGTTTTATTCTTGCTCTAAGTTTGAGAAACCAAGTTAATGTATATGGGGGACAATTAGTCTGGCTGTAAAGTTGAAATCTGAGCATCTTTATTTTTCCAACATTGCAGAATTTCAGAATGAGACCTCGTGGACAGATGCTTGGGCTCTAATTCGGGTTCCCTATCTCATTAGTGATATGATCTTGACAGTTACGATTTCTTTCCAGGCCTCAGCTTCCCCATCTGTAAAATTGGGTAAGTGAAATCTACCTTATAGAGGTGTCATAAAAAGTAAACGTAAGGATGTAAGAGTTTAGTCCAGTATCTGGCACAGATTAAGTGTTAATAAAAGTTATGTTAATGCCTGTTATTAGCTAATTGGGGTGTTGTAAAAATGAATAAAAATACTTCAAGTCAATCAGTTAATAGTAGTCACCTGACATCCACATATTGCTTGCTAATACTTAAACCGTGATATTCCTTTTCTCCAAAACAACTGGGTGAAGCAAGCTGAGCAGGTATAGCCTTCTTATTCTCTTAGATGAGCACTTGCAGCCAACGGGTGAAACTGGAGGACACACATCCTGACTTTCACTATGGGGTCTTTCTATTGCACTAAATATATTAATTGAAAATCTCACTGTATTTTTCCTTCTCACTCAAAAGCAATCATCAATATGCCGTCTGAAGCTATGAAAGGCAAGAAAATTTGTCCTTTCCTTCTGGAGTCACAGTCGGCCTGGCTCCTTGGCCACATCTGAGTAGGTAATCCAAGCCAGTGGTTATCATGTTCATTCACCATCCCCAAAATGAAGGCTGAGGGGACAGAGATACAAAACTGGGAGGCAGTCCAGTAACTGCAGCACTCTGCTCTTGGGGTATGTGCTGAGGAGCTTCCCCTCAGAGAGATTTAGTTGGTGGGCTTGAGGCACCTCCACGTGCCTGTCCTTTAAGTCCTTACTTTGCTGATCACTTTGTGGGAGGTGTGGGTTATATTATCTCCAATGGTTTTCAAGTCTGTTTCAGTTGATTGAGTATAGCAAAGTGACCTCTAAATTCTATTTCCAATTTAATTCCTAAAATGATTTTTTTAGCTTGAGAGGAAAGAAATGCATTGAGAAATTGTTTTTCTTGTTACCCAGTCTGTATAGTGAGGACTTGTATGCTATAGAGCTAGGACAGAGAATGTTTAACTGACAAACGAGGCAACCCTGTTGGGTTTGTGCTGTCCAGGAAGAACACTGGACTATGAGTGAGAAAAATGTTGCAATTCTGGCTCCACCATTAACTTGATATATAATCATGATGAAGTAAATACCCTCTCTGAACATTGTGCCCACCCATCTAAATCTATAACACTATATGACTTTTGCTGGGTGCAAAAATCTATGGAATGAGGCAGAAATTATTCTATTTCAAGGTATATTCTTATTCTAGTCCCAGTTAATCTTTAATGAGTGTTTCTTTCCTTCAGAATATTTTTGGTCAAAGGAATATAAGAAACTCAAGTTATATTTTAGGTAAATATTTTAGTTTTGATAGTTACATCAATGACCAAATGTCATTTTAGTAACACCTCTAGGCATGTATACTGATTTTATTCTATGTCCCCACAGATTTCTTAGTTATTTTAATGAATATAAATTAATTATTATTACTTTAAAGAAGCAGGATATTAGATCTAGCATGGTGGAATTAACCAACAAAATCTTATTGTAGCAAATGCCTGGAAGAAAAAATATGGAGGGAACAAAAATAATAAACAAGTAAGTAAGGGCCAACCTTCAATGTTCTCACTTCTACCTGCGCTCTGATTTTTCTGCTGCTCCTTCTTTAAGCAATGTACATATGTAAGCCCCAGTAACTCAGTTCTTTAGGAAGCATATCCTCTTCCATTCCTGCATTTGAGCTATAATTTCCACCTGTTTTTTCCTGCATTTAATTAGGTTTGACAGGGTAAAGTTCTGACACATGTATATTCTGTAAATAATAACATTGTACAATATAAATAAACAAGTGCAATTCTATGCTTGTGTTTACAAGAAAGAGGATGGAGGCAAACAATGCATTAATTACTTGTTAAATAAAAGAACATTTGCTCTAGATTGAGATAAATTTTGAACATTAAAGCTCTAGTTATTAAGCTATTTAAAGCTTTTTAAATTTATTTTTCACTGAGACTCTGAAATTCACTATAAATCAGCACTATAAAATTAAGAGAGTAGGATTTGCATTTTCATGATTATATAATTCACTTTTGTCTGAGAACACAAGGGCAGGAGGCCACACCAGTTAAGCTATTATGGTCGATGTTGTTTTCCATTTCCCTAACTGCTCTGCTGTCCACTGCAACTTCATAACTAAACTGTGTTTGTGAAATGAGGTGTCTATGCGAGTAAGTTAGAGAATAGCAGAGCAAGCAGCCTTACATCTCTGTCTGGTGCTCAACCTGTCTTTTTATTTGGTGAACCTTTCTGTGGCATAGTGGAGTGCATACTGGATAGTCTCACCACTCTGTGACTGACCGTGGACCAGACCTTTATTGCTGAGATCCCCTCCGCCTCTCAACTGCTGCAAGTTTCCATTACCAGTAACACTTCTTGCCACTTGTTCAGGATGGAGTATAAAGAACATGAATCTTTGGACCTACCATAATATTATAAAGATTAGAGATGATGAGTGTCAGTGCCTAGTATAGTAGGCCTTAAAAATTATTAGCTATTACTTTCCTTATCACTCAAAAATCACTCTCTTCTTGACACCATTGCCACTTGAATGTTTCATAAGTTCCTCGAATTCAACATCTCCAAAATGCAATGCTTAATATTTCTTCTACCTTCATCAATGTTTCTGAAGACCTCCAATTTTTTCTGTTTCTATCCCAACAAATGGTACCAGTTGCTCAAATCATTTACATCTTTACTTCTTTCTGTCATATTTTATATCCATTCTACCTCTGAATGCCCTGTACCTCACTCTTACATATCCACGCACAGGTCTCTCCTTCCTCATCACCACACCTGTAGTGCCTGTAGTACAAGGCACCTTGTCTTAGGCCTGGATTACCAAATTGTCTTTCTCACTCTAGTCTAGTCAATACAAGACTCTGTCAGTACACACTACAGTGGAAAATGCTATTTCCCCACTGGAAAGCAGATTGAAAGCAGATCACATTACTCTCCTACTAGAAATATCTTTAATTGGCGCCCCTTTGCCATCAAGTCCAAACCATTAAACAGAGTTTGCAGACTTTCTCTTGACAGGATGGTCCATACCCACAGTGTCATTAACACCTGACAGACTGTTAGAAGTGCAGATTTTTCAGGTACCACCCCCAACCCCCCCACCAGAACTACTGAATTAGCATCTTTGTAATAGTAAGATTCCAGGCACTTCAACTGCACATCAGAGTTTGAGATGTTCTGATTAATAAGGCCCTAATGATAAATCTGCCACCACTCCATCTAGTTTTATTTGCCTATAGTTTCCATAAAAGACTCTGACCTATGACATTATTTTCTGACCCCTCAAGATGTCATGCTTTCTGTCCTTTCTGGGACTTTGCTGGAGTATTTCTATCCTAGCTAACTCTTACCCATCCTTCATATTCATCAGCGATGTTATGATCTTTGGAGAATGTTCTCTGAATTGCCAATACTGATTAATCATGATTCCCTGCCCTCTTATGTTTATATGAAACATTGCAATGCATCATCTTGCATTGTAATTAGCACTAGACAGGTGACTCCTTTAGGGAGAATATTGTTCTCCATAATATTTCCAACACTCAACACAATGCCTAGACATTGAGACATCCAACAAATATTTGTAGGAAGAAAAGTTTGACTTCTATTAGACCATTCTCTCAACCCACATACATCTCTTACTACCTTGTATATGATCAGAAGTAGAGGGAAACAAAAATGAAAACCAAAATCACTGGTCACAACAAAGAGGTGGTATCCTCTTGCGCATTAGAGAGGAACATTAACCATCTAACAAGCATGACTATGCTGCCTCTGAATACTGCTCACAGACCACCAAACATAGAGCCAAAGTAAGGATTATCTTCAAATATTAGGAAAAACTAACTTCTTTATAATTATTTGAATTTAAAATCATTCAGAAAGAATCATTTGAATATTAGTGAATTTTGCCAAGGGACAAAACAATCTTTGGAATGTATCTTTGATTAGTGACCCTAAATATAGCTGATCTTTTAAATATGTCTGGAGATTTCTTCATAAAAAGGCAATTGCTTGCATTATTTTTCCTACTGAATCTGGATGTGGCTCACTCACATTGTGATCAAAGGAACAAGTCACTCCCCTATTCCTCCTTTCCAAACTATTTATGTTTGTTTCTAGACAACCAGTCTCCCAGGGGAATTAAGAACAGCCCAGGGTCCTAGTGTTTAAATTAAACATTTTAGAAGATTTTGCTAAGATTATACTTTCTCAAGTCTTTTCCCCAGAATGTTTGAGACTTATTCTTGATTTAAAATTCTTTCCTAGATCTTCAGTGGATAAATATCTCTTGCTATTTGCATTTTTTTTCCTTATGAGGCTTTTTATATCTCTTCCCTTTTATCTTATTCACTATGACAGTGTATTTTCCCTTCATTACTCTTTCTCAATCTCTTACTCCTCAGATTCTATGTAGTGATTTCATTATGGTGTCCACTTATTTTATAGTTTTTACCACTCCCTCATTAAAGGTTTATATTATAAATAGTGTGCTTTCAAATAGGCATCTTAAAATTATTAGATATATAAATATATTTTTAAAAGAGAATTTTAATGAAAAAATTCCCAATCTCTAGTCTTTATCTTTCCATTCTGTTTTTTGCTGTACATTTACAAGGTGAAAACTAGTTTTAAAATAAGTGATTTAAAACATCCTATGACCATCACATGATCCACCCAAATGTAACCTGATCTCCTTAGCCCTTGGAGCTTATGTTTGTGGGTGATAAAAGTAAAAATGACAAAAGTAGAAATAAGCTGTCTTGGATACTCACTTATTTGATCAGAAGAATTGGGTCTTATTCCCTTTTACTTTCTTTTCCCTTACAAGTTTGTAATAAATATAATTTTGGAACATGATTCTGCCTCAGGGTAGACAAGTTTGGCTTTGAATACACATTATTGAGATGTGTATTCATAATGAGTAAAATTTATCATCATATGAGGCAGCAGTTTGCTTTTAAATGCCTAGCTTATGTGCACTTAAAAAAACAATGGAAAATTTTCACTTAAATAGGGCTACTAAGCTTTGGTTTGAATTTCTACAAATGAAACAAAGAGAAAAAAGGGAAAATCTTCTTTTACACACAATTCATATGTAATTTTAAACATGAGATATTCTAGGAATTGTTATGACTGACCTCATAACATTAATTTGAAGAAGACTGGAGTCCTAGAGGGTGTGCCCTCAGTAAGAGTCATCTGGAGGCTTTGCGACTACAAGCCATCATAGACTCTATGAAAAGCAAAGGGCAGAGTCAGAAGAGTTGTTTCTGGTATTTTCTAGCTTTAGTTTCCTTATCCATAATATTTAGAAATAATAAAAAGGATCATTAAACACACATAGCCTTCTGTTAAGAGCACTAAAAGAGGGAATTCATATGAAGCACTGAAAAACTGTAAGATTAGGTACAAATCCATAACTCAAGGGAAATAACACTATCAATAGAATCGTGGAAAATAAAAGAACACAACTTTGGTGGGTCAGAGGAATAGGTCAAGGTAAAATAACAACTATCACTCTCAAGGACAAAGAGCTAATGAGAGAAATGCAGGTTATTCACACACTGAAGATGTCTACTTATAAAACGAAAATAATTAAGAGCAGTTAGTATAAATGTTTGCAACTTTAAGCAAGGAAGGAAATGATGGTAGGGGGATTTTCTTGGAAGTGTGAGTCAGTACCTCCCATGGTTGAAAGGCGCTGGGGTTCTGACAGTCTCGAGCTTGGCACAGATCCCGAATGGCATAGCCAAGAGCAAACATTGCAAGTTGAATACTGTGAACAAGTCCTGGCTCAGTGTAATCCCACAGGAAGTCATTTCTCAGAGAGAAGTTCCTTTTTATATCCTTGTCAGCCTTGTCAGCTAAAGTCCCCTGAGAATGGTTGGAAATGCATTGGCTCAAATCACTATCCTTGGCATATGCACAGGCAGACAACAGTGCTGCATATTCATTTAAGGGCTTGTTATTATCACCAGGAAACATGTGCAGATTTTGAAGAAAGGAATGGAAAGAGGACATATTCCCTCTTTTAAAAGTAAACCCAACAACTTTGCCAATTCTTTTAACATTAGGAATGGTGGTAATTTTGGTGGCTGTTGACCAGTTATCGCTAGCAATCCAGATCTTATTTATATTCCTTTCAATGGCTTTACTGAAGAGACTGAAAACATGGAATTGCCTCAGAAATACCACAATGACATTAACCTGGGCTTCTGCTATGATTTTTTCAAGCGTCTGATTAATCCTGACTTCGATGGTATTATCTGAGAGGAAGGCTGGGAGAACTTCTTTGAAAGCTATGCACACATTATTTGCCGTGGTCTGAATTGCAAAGGTGTTGAGTGCCAGTCGTCCATAGTCATCATCCGTGGCAATGATGCCAATCCAGTTCCATCCAGATTTCTGAATCAGGTGGGCCATTGCTTTAGTTTGATAGAAGTCACTGGGCACAGTCCGTAAAAATGAAGGAAAACGGATTTTGTCACTTAGGATTTCTGCAGTTGATTCGTAACTCACCTGGAAATTGACAGAATCTTTTAGTTATGGTGTTGATGAGCTCCAGGGGGGTTCATAGTAGATGCTCTTCTCCATGATTCCTGTGAACTTCCATAATCTTTTCCTAAAAATCTCTAGCTTTACCCATCCTTCCCCTTCAGTGGACTCCACTACTTTAAAAATAGCTTAAATCATGATATTTAGTACCTGGTAACTGTTTAGAATTATTGGACTTCAATCATTTTGTTTTGTACATAGTAGAAGCCCTTTGAATATTCAGGTTCTCTCTTGTATCTCCATCTACACTTCTATATCTATCTTTTATTTTAGGCTACGGCCAATAGTGGATATTGTTTAAATACTTAGAGATAAGTACAGGAAAATGCAGCTGGAGAAATAAGCAAAATGAATTTTGGGACAACTAGTATGTTCAAAACTTTGTGTAATTGACAACTTTGGTGGTGCTTATTCTAGGTAAAATAAATCATCTAGATGAATTCATCATCTACGCCAGGGAGCAGCAAACTTTTTCTGAAGGACCTGATAAAAATATTTTAAGTTTTCTTGGTTACGTATTTTCTTTGTCATATTTTTTGTATTTATTTCTATTACAACCTTTACAAAATGTAAAAATCATTCTTAGCTTGATGGCTGAAGTGATCAAGAGCCAGATTTGATCCATATGCTATGGTCTTCTGACCCCTGATCTACTCAAATAAGCACCAGCGCTGTGGGAGACCTGCCTAATGCAAAGTTTTCTGTAATTTTATTCTAGGGAGAATGATAACCTTCCACAGCTGAAATTGCACTATGTCATTTGCTCAGTGAATTTTTTTTTTTTCTATTTACAGCCTCCACATAGTAAGTTGGAAAGGCTTTGGAGTCAGACAAACTGTTAGAATCCTGACTGCAATAAATTTGTTAGTTAACTAACAAATAAAGTTAGTTAACATTTCTTTACCTGTGAAATGATAGGATTCTTGTGGAGAGTAAAGGAAAACACTTAAATGAATATTAGCACATGGTGGACATTGACTAAATCTTAGTTTCCTTCCTAATACCTTTATTGCTATGCTTCCCTACACTGTGAGACTTGAGATTCTGTAAAATCAGTGTCCCCTGTGGAGAGTTCCCTTTTCTTTGGTGTTGTCTATCATAGAAATTACACTGTTATTGCAAGTAATCATTGTTCAAAATGTTCTACTTTTCTTATTTATCACCTAACTAGCATTATACAGGGTCTGGAAATTGTGACAGAAAAGCCTTATCTCAGATATTTGGGGGAATAATTATTTTGTTTTGTCATTTTGGACTTAAACTTTCATTATCAACTTCATTGGGCTATAATAAAATGGAACTCTCAGAATCTTTGATGGGTATATGCTCTTACTTACTGTAGCTCCAGAAGTTATGTTTTGAATTCTTATGCACACATATTATATATACATGAAAGCCAAGGGAACTTCCTTGACTTTGAATAATGTGCCAGACAGTACAGGCTGCTCTAGTATCTGTTCTTATCTTTCAGAGGCCTTTTGCTTATTTCCTGTTTATTGGCTTGCATGACAAGGAGATATGTAGTACCACAGTCTCTGCTCAAAGCTTTCCCATCATACTCAGAATAAAATGCAAACCATTCCACAGCTTCAAGATGCCCCATGACCCAGACCTTGCCTACCTCTGCAAACGCACTTCTTACTATGATCCTTTCTGCTCACCTGATCTAGCCATATTGACCTTTCTGTTGTGCTTCGGATGTTCCAACTTTTCAGGCACTGCTCTCTCAGCATAGATACTCTCCTCTCCTCTCCCATCTTCCTTTGGCTGTTGCTTCTCATTCAAGTTTCAGGCTATATGTCACCTCCTTAAGAAGTCTTCCTTGACCTCCATTCCTCCTTACCCCTCACCATCTCCTCAGTTTTGTACATAACACCTGATTGTTTTTCAAAAACAAGGTAGTTGAGGTCCTCAGAGGTTTCTGTCTTATCCAAATCATGCTGAAAACTGTCAGAAACTAGGGAGACTGAAGGCTGACTGGTCCCTTAGTGTCCTCTCCACTCTACTATGCATAATAGGGTACCTCCTTTCTTTGACTGAAGAGAAAAAAAGGTTAAAGTAAAAGCAACTCCCTAATTTCCTGGGCTACCATGATCCTTTCATAATAAAGTATATGATCAAAAGCAATGTACAAAGGTAGAGCAAAACCTACCTGTGGCATGAGCAGTAAATTCAACATCCTGGAGACTGCCATGGTTATTTCTGAGTAGCCAGCACCTACGACAGCCTTAACCTTTGGCATGTAGTGGGAATAGTCACACTTAAACTCCATGATTTCTGTGGAGCAGTTCAACTTAGAAAGAAACCTTAGAGTGGCCGCCATCGCCAGTGTAATGTCTGTACAAGTGTCGTAGATTTCATACCCAAGTTTGACTCCAGATAATAGTGTTGAATTATTGATCATCTCAATGCTGTGTATCATGGCAAGAGTTTGAAGAAAATTTGATATTTCAAAGCTGTTGAGAAACAAGTTAGTTTAAAATCAGAACATAAGTCTTTCACAGACATGATATTTCATTTTATTTGCATCTCTGCTTTATAATAGACAATTTCTGGATCAGTAATGCTTACTTCTTGAAAGTCTAAACTTAACTTATTTAAAAATAGTTTGTTTGGGAAGCGTATGTGGGAACCTGCAGTCTCTCAGATGGAGTCTATGGAACAGGATTTAACCTTTGCTTGATTAATTTTGAGAACATTTTGAATACTCGGTTTAGTATTTTAAAGTATGAATATGTGTCTGATTTTTGTTTCTTTTTGTTGTTAGATGTCAGCATTTTATTGCTGTTCAAGTATCTGCTTTTCAGCCTTCTTTTACTTTTCTTATTCTAGTCTATTATAGTTGGAAGCCAGGTTAGTAAGACTTTTAGAATTATATATAAAATAGGCTCTGGGTAAAAGCCCAATAGCCTTCTAAATAAAATGAATTATTTTAGTTTCAAGTCACAGCTATTTCCTTGTTCAGGATCAAATGATTTTTTTAGTGTTTTCCATCCTTAATTATTGGCCTAGGATTTAGGACTTCAAATATGCATTCTTTGGGTACCAGTTTACTGTTCTGAAAATCTTCATTAATTATTGTGTACTGTTCATTGGCATTCCTGATAATCAATGATTAAGATTACAGTAGCTCAAAGTGTCCAGGTTCTGGGGGAATGCCAGGAAGGAATCTTAGTGTGATGTGAGATCACATTTTATCTGAAAGCATTTTATTCTGAGAGCGCTTGGTGGACCCTTTATGATAAAGAAAGAAAAAAAGGGAGGAAAACAAAATAGATTGAACTTACATACAAAAATATCAAGACAGAAATCAGGATTTTAAAGTTAGAAGGAAGCATGGGGATCACATTGCCATCACAACAGAAGGTGATGCTACTTGTGTCCACAGAAGTTATCCAGGCCCTTATTTTAAAGAAAATGAGAGAAGAGAAAACTGGAAACTATAACTCAAAGAGTTTAAACTTACCTAAGTCTACAAAATCAGTTTGTCTCCAAACTATAGTTAGAATTCAAATATCCTGCTCTCCTTAAATAAAATCTGTAACATCCTCCTCCCAGCTTTGCTTTTCCATAATACACTGGCTCTAATGTCTTTTCTGTAGTCTGGCTTTCACACTGTAAAGTGCACATTAAGGAAGAATACTTTGAGTTGAATTAAGGTCTTAAATTTATCATGAAAGAATTAAACTATTTTAAGAATGAAATGAATACAATGTTGACAAAAATGTTAAAGTAGAGAAAAATTGAAATGTAGTTTATTTTATATAAGAATTAAATAATAGATCCATGTGCACAATAAAATACATGTTGTGGTTGATAGAAATATAAATGTGCTAATATGTTTTGGTGGACAGGCTACAGTGCTCTAACTGGGCTTTCTCAAGTGACTTCAGGGATTTTTTTCCTTTTTAGGCAGAAGGCCAAATAAATATATAATGAAATGCATTTGTTGTCTCTGCACTTAGAGGTTGATTATAGAGTGCTAACATATCACTCTTTTAAGGAAAGATTGCAATACTAACTATATACATCTTAAAATGTATATGTATGAGTTTAAATTATATTAAAATTCAGTTGCATACCCTAATCTCACTGTATAATCTTGAAGTCTAAATGTGGCCTTTGAGGCTTTACTCACCCGACACATTGCTGGATTTCTGGTCGTCTAGGACAGACTCCCAAGGACAGCACTTTCTCATGAATGGCAAACAAACCTCCAATCATGATGTGTCCCGGGGAGGTGGCAGCCACAAAATCATCAGGGGTCTGGCAAGACTGGGTAGTAGTAAAGTAGGTAATCAGTATAATCAATAGTGCCATGTTCCTCTCTCATTTGCTCACTTTGTGCAAGTTCTTAGGAATCCAAAAGTTCACAGAGTACCAACAACATGTATCCTATTTCACCTATAAACACCATGTAAGGTATAGGACAGTGTCAAGGGCCAAAAACACTCAGTATTCAGGTACTTGATGATAGTCCAAACAATTTTTCTCCAATAGGAATAGATCAGACTCTGCTACTCCATTGTTGGTGACATGTGATCGCAGTGATGCCAGGAAGAAGCTGATAGGATTAGAAACACAGGTTCTCAGTGTGACAGCACTCTTTCACTCCACTGGGCTTTGAGTCATGCTGGCATTTCTTCTGAGGGACATAGAATCTTCAGGAGGGAGCAGTTTAGGAAAGCTTTCCCACTTCAGAAATGGACAATTTTTATTTCCAAAGGTATCATATTCAAGGCACAAAAACTTCAATGTAGTTTATTAACTATTTAGAAAAATAGCTCCCTGCTTTAATTTTCCCATAAAAGCTCTATTTAAAAAACTGAAATTCAGGTAAGTTTAGGTATTTATCACTTCCAGTTTACACATTTAAAATAAGCAGCTTTTGTGGTGATGGATAACACTCAAATTGAGATGAAACTTGCCTGATACAGTGCCTTGCATTGAATAAGAAAGGTCTATCATAGATCACTGACATTTATATGCTTGTTTGTGGAATTAGGTTTTACAAATTTATAACTAGTGTCAGGCTATATCTTCTTAAATGCTTAGGAATCTAAACTAACATGATTTTCTGGATATCTTTTAGAATTTAACAGAGCATACATAAACCTCAGTAACTTAGGTACTCTTCAGAAAAAGTTAAAGTTTTTACCTTTTTGAAATCTTTTCCAAACATTGTATTAAAAAGGAATATGTCTTGGGAAAGAAGATGCAAATTCAATACACCCAGTTTGTTTGATGGGTATCAGCCTCATTAAAAGAATTTCAGAAAATAAGAGTACAATGGCTATTACAGTATTTAGCTGTAGTCCCATTGACATGTGGGGTTATGCCAACTGAACATCAGAGAAGTCATAGCTCTTACAGTCAAATGTTTCCTTAAGTCTCAGCATTTTTACCAGTAGCAGGATTTCCTCTTAGGACCCAGACCAGTTAACTTCAGTTGTCCAGGAAGTTTAATATATATGAGTTTGAAGACTCTTCAGATGTTCAGCAATTGCATTTTACCCATCTTCATCTTATTATTCATTTGTGTATGTGTGTGTGTGCAACTGGATAAATGTATGTTTTCATGAATTAGTTCTTTTCTCAGATAACCTCCAAGGTCTTCTGTAATTACAAGTTCAAAGATGATTTTGGTAAAAATATACTAAAGAATAAGAAATTCAAAAAATTGTCCAGCAAAAAGTATATAATAGGAATTAAACAACTCAAAGTGATTTTGAATATACAAACTTCATGTTATCATACTGTTCAGATCTGACCTTTATTTGAAAAATCAGTGACAAAAGTTATACTGATGATTTGTCTTAGGTTGTAATTTTAACAATATTTAGGTCTTTGTTATCTGGAAAAACTTGAAGACAAACCACATTTTCTTATTTTAAGAAGTATAATCTAAGTTGGAAAATCTTTTTCTACATAGGAGTCCTCTGAAGGTAGGAAAACAAAAGGTTTTGAAAGACCTTGTCCTATAAAATGCAGTGTCATGTGGCATAAAGAACTCAAACTTTGGAAGCTGACAGACTGGGTGGCTCGGCCCAGCCCTTAGCAGGTGATCATGAATGATTTAATGAACTTTTCTGAACAATAATTTTCTCATTAATAAATTAGGTAACCTATTTCTATCTTACAGGTATGTTTTGAGACTTGAGCTCAATCAATTTGTAAAGTTCCTGTGTTCCAGAGAGCACTCAATAATCAGCTCCCATCTTAGTCTGTTAGGGTTGTTATAGACTGGGTGGCCTATAATCAATAATCATTCATCTTTCATAGTCCTGGAGGTTAGGTAGCCCAAGATTCAAAGTTCTAGTGAGAGGTCGTTATAAACCTCACAATGGGGAAGGGGCAAGATAGCTTTCTAGAGACTGTTTTTGTAAGGGCACTCATCCTGTTCTGGAGGTTTCTGCCCTCATGACCTAATAATCACTTCCCAGAGGGTTCACCTCCTAATGCCATCATCTTTAGGGTTAGATTTCAACATATGAATTTTGGGAAGACACAAACATTCAGACCATGGCAGCTCTCTCCTTCTCCTTCCCGAAGCCGAACTGAAAGTTATTGATTCCTAAATTGGGAATGCTTTGTACAGTTGGCTAAATCATCATGCAGAGCCCTTTCTCAAAGATCTTAAATGCAGGCCTGATAGAAATGATGATGTGTGCGATAGTAGCACTGGCTAGTTATTGTCTCCCTTTAATGTAAATCCATTGCTTAGTTAAGCTTGAAGGAAGCTACAGTGTATTAATTACTTCAGAATTCTGCCGGTTTCACTGCTGTGGTTTTGATTATTATCAAGACTTAATTTTGGACTAGGGACAAAACTTGTAGCCATAATTTTGAATCTACAGTTACCACATATTTTCTGCTTTTAAAAACACCTAAAAATGACAGTAATAACTGCTACTATTACAAAAGGTTTTTTTTTAACTTTGTACAACTGTTTCTTAAGGATTCATACTCTTGAAGAAATTTTGAGAGATTAATTACTGATGGCACTAGCTTGTTCTTACTTTTGATTTCAGGATTCTTTATTTCTTTGTTACTTTATTTATGTGAAGAGATATCTCGTTATTATCCAGAGGAAACAGTACAGAAGTGATAACACTACCCAGGTAATTCTCATAAGGATGCCACTGCCCTGCTTGGACAAGTACAGTAGGGATGGATAATCAGTGGGTAAGGATGCTTTCTGCTGTCATTATTAGTTGGTAGCACAAATGATGGGAAGAATCTCCCCATGGTAAAAGGGCTGCAGTGAAGACTGGGTCAGTGGCACTCTGGGACCAGAGGCACAGAACCTAGCCTCTGAACTCTAGCAAATATCTAGGCCTCTCACCTCCTGGCACTTTTGTTTTCCCTCCTGTTACCACAGTTTCATAGTTTCCCATCTACTCTCCCTAACTCCACACCTTTTTCCTACTTCCTTAAATTTCATACTAATGATGATGCCATAAAGTTGTTTTCAGTGCCATTTGCATCTGCAATGAGGTTTTAAAAACAGAACTATCTTCCAAATTAAAGGAATCAATTTAAACAGTGGAATTTCAATTTAAACAAAGGAATCAATTTAAACAAGAGGAGCTGGGGAGGAACAGCAGGGCAGGGGGTCCCGGGGAACTTGGGACCACACTTCACAGGCAGCTGACTACTCTGCCTGCACACAGAGCCAGCCTGACAGAACAGGTCAGAGTGCCTCCTGAAAGGAGAGAAGCAGCCAACACCAATGTTATGAAGGTGTTTGCCAATATCTACAGCCCAAGCAGAAAATAAACAAGAGTTTAAGAATGAGCTCTGACCCGTGAGTCCACATTGTCAGTCTCCTTCAGGTTTTTTTTCTTTCAGGGCTGCATGCATAAATATATATTCAGCTGAAGCAAGCAGGTATTCAAAGTACAATACCAAAACTACGCTCTATTCAATCAACATTAAATTTGAATGCATTTTTATGTTTGTAGTGCTTCTCTTTCACAAGAACCCATATCAAGTGGTCATAACAGGAGAGGTTATAGTCTCAGGAACATAACAGCAAAGGGCTGAGCCATGACTCCCATACTAGGCACTTTTCGCTGACGCCTATTGTGCTAGTGTCTTACATGTTTACTTACTCCTCTTACTGCTTCCTAATTTTCGTGTGCTTAACTAGCACCTCTTCAACCTGATGGAAGGTTTTGTAGGCTGGCTGGAAAAGGGTTTCTTAGGTCTTTGTGCATCTCATGATTCATTGTTTTAAAAAATATGTTTCAGTGACATATTTAACAAATTAAAAATATATTGCTCATTTTGATTTTAACAAGTCATCAATAGCTTACAGTTGATGCTAGCGCCAGTAAGGTAATCCAGGACACAGTACCCACTAGATGTGGTCGGCCTGTTTTATTGTCTATTACAATCATCATTCACTTGCAAAACCCAACATATCAATTCATATGGTTTACTGAGTGCTAGAAATACAATATTGTATTCCAAATCAGAGTTTAGCAAAGCTTCAGCTAGGGGTAAAATTACATGGCAAAGGCCTAAATCCCCAATGGACTCAATTAGCTGCATAGCTAAGTAATTTACTTCATTTAGTTGAATTTCAAATCTATCAGTAAGATCAGAATAGATGTTAACAAGATTAAAAATAATTGAGTCAATATTACATCTTCTTGCAAGCTTTCCCTTATCAGGTAAACCCTGTTTCCCTGTACTTGCCCACCTTGCTCAGTGTTTTATCACTGTTGATACCATATTGAGTTGTCATTTATCACTGTAACATTTCTACACCACAATACACTATCTTCTCTGTTGTACTCCTGTCCATAACTGAAATTTCTCTTCTAGAATCTTTCATGTAATACATAGTTTTAACACTAGGTAATTAATTTAATGTATGACATAAGGGATGTTATCCTATGTAGGGTACCTTAGGAGCTCTACGGATGGACTTCATGGAAGTCTATGAAACCCTTAAAATTGCATGAAATTTTTGAGTGAAAATGCATATGTGAATTTTTCTGGGGAGAGCATTTGGTACTTTTACCAAATTATCAAAAGCTTCTATTACTCCCAGAAAAGTTGAGAAATACTGTCTACTAGATTTAAGTTTTGCTTCCCAGGAAACGCAGGAATGTGTTCTGAGATAATGATCCTGCCTTTGTTGTTACCCACCGATAATTCAGATCATCCTTACTTACCTTCCACCAACAACTTCATCATTTGCTTGATACATATCACATTTAATACTACCAGTCAGAAGATTATATGAGTAAAGGATTATTACCACAGACCATTCCTCAGCCATCTCAGAGTACAGCACAACTAGATCATTA